CCCCCCGAAGGAATGAAATTTTGTGTGTTACTAGGATGACACATACTGTCCAGAAGTTGACTTGTATTGTGGAGCCCTGGGCCCCTTCAAGATTTTCCTCCTTCTTTCCTAATCCTTCAAATCGTGTATAAGCAGTTGTCTTCCCCTGCCCCCCGGTTCTTTTAATGAAGAACATTTTAGTTCAGTTTTAGATGACAAATGAATTTGTAAGCAACTTATCTTACGAAACTCCTTTGCTGAAATATTTTTGTTTTCTGTTTTCTTGGGTGTGTTCTTTCATGTTCTTTCTCCCCATCGTTTTGGCTGAGTAAGAGGGAGATGTTATTTCTACTGTTCCTCTGTAACATCTCGGGTGGGGTGCGGGGGGTGGGGGTGACTCTTTTTCCTTGTTGCTTTAAGCAGGTCTGAGGCCTTTTCTTTGCCTTTCCATTCTTGCTCTGGTTCAGTGTGTGCCTCGACTTGCACACTAGGTAAAAAGACAGGTACCGACCGAAGCGTAGTGCCCAGGGAGGCAGCACAGGGCAGCCTCCAAAGCCCGTAATAGTCCCTGTGCAGCCCGTGGGCTAGTGTCAGACCAGCAGGCCTTTAGGGACGCCAGCTCTTTGCAGACGTCAGTAGAGGATTTGAGGTCGTACTGGTTTTGCTCTAGCTCAGAAAGAGCTCTCCCCAGCATCGCTTTTTTTTTTTTAGGATAGTGGCATCCTAACATTTTCTGCTATGCTAAACTGACCAGCCTCCATGAACCTCTTGTTTTCAGTGGTCTATTTCAGGAAGTCCCAGAAAATATGGAAGCATAACCAGCATACTTCAGGTGAATTTCATGATTTTTAGGACCTGCTTCTGGCTAAGTAGAGGTCTGGAGTGACAGATCAAAGAAAGAGGCAAACGAAGCAGCACTGTTCTGAATTTCCACAAGGCCTAGAGTCTTGGTTTTGAGTGTGGCTGAGATCAATTTTTGCATCTCCTGTATCACAGCAGCTATTCTGAGAGAAGCACAGCATTTGAAACTCTCTAAGAAGTGTGTTTTAGAGATTCTTCACATTTCATGTGATCAGTGAACATCTGCACATGAAGGAACTTTTTGAAAAAGGTTAGGTGTAAAATCTTAACAATCTTGTTAAGAAGTACTTGATACCTTAACAAGTATGCTAATCTTCAAGGAATCAGGAATACTTTCTTCTCAAAGCTTAAAATTTTATATAAAAGTCTCTTTCAGTGTAATGGGTTTCATGCAAAAACTATCCGCTCATCTATAAGATGTCTGAGGTCAGATTCCTCCTGCAAAATACACAGATCAATCTGTGTAATCACCAAATCTAGAGGAAACTTCACCTTTTACTGAATCTGTCTTTTGGAAATTGGTACTTTAAACTTGATTTAAATGCAGTTTGATCCAGGGCTTCATTTGAAGTAAGCTGGTTTTGATCATTTTATATAACATCTCAGTTATTGGATGAGTCTGCCTCATCTGTTTGCGGTCCAAATTCCTTTTCCCATTTGCAATTACTGTAGAGAGTTTTGAATTCTTGAAATTTAACATCATCAGCTGAAGATTAAACTTGTAGAAATCACCTTGATTTTTAGCAATTAGATTTTCTGGGCTATTTAAGAATATGATAGCACGTGTTTTCTAATTGCTTTGAGTCTGCTGATGTAAGTAATGCTGCAAACACGAAAGTTGATTTAATAGCATTTTGGTTGATGATACTTATTTTGGAAAACCTTCATCAGCTCATTATGATAAAATTCCCATTGGCTTCAGGGGTGCCATAATTAGCCTTTGGACAGCATTCCCTAGTGTATTTGGGGGAGGAGGGCTTGAAGGACCACATGTACTGGTATGGCTGGGAGGGGATGGCAGCTTGACAAGAGAAAACTTGTCAGGGTTTGAGCTGATCTGCAGCTTCGCAGCAACTTTGGCAGCAGTTATTAGCAATAACTGATAATTAGCATCCAAACAATTTGGTGCAGTTCTCAGGGCTTGGCGTGAGCTCCTTGCTGCCTTGTGGGATGTGCTGCCCTCGCACCACGTAACTGCGAGCACCCTGGCTGAGAAGTTTCATATTCACTTGGTCCAGAGATAAGTGGCTATACAGAACTTGAGGTTGTGTGTGTTTGGGCTGGGGGTTGGTTTTGGTTAGTTTCAGATAATGTTAAAACCAAAGGAGGGCTTTCCATCTGTGTCTCATGCAGCTTTCTGAAGAGATACGTGGAAGCTAATCGTACCTTTGTCCAGCAGTGTAAAGTGTTTTCCAATGTACTGATGAGCACATCTAGCTGAGCAAATAGCAAGATAGCATTTTGGTTCATGAACTCTTTGACTTCTGCCTTTAACCTGACCTTGGGAAATCTGGAAGAAGGGAACTTTGATAGTCCCTTATTATTAATGTCATCTTGTAATTCCTTGAGGCAGCTGTTCAGCAGAACATGACACTTTACAGCCATTGTGTCTAGCAAGGTGTGTGCAAATGAGTTGTCAGAAACTCATTTATCTTGTGAAGAAATTATACTTCAAAGAATATCATTCTGATATAACTGTGAAGAATTTTCTTCCCTATTTTGGTACCTTAGTAGATAGAAATAGAGGTTTTGGTAGAGCAGAGTAAGTTTGACTTCTATTTCTGTGTTTTATATAATGTTAAAGCAAAAGTGGATGGGTAGATGCTGGACTCCTGGGTATGTGAAGGTTTATGGGTTTCATGCCTATCAATAAAAGTCAGTTTTCCTTTCAATAGCTTGATTTAAAACAGGCCTGGGCTGTAGCCATGGAAGGTAATTGCATTGCCCTGTAATTTTGCACAATTTTGTTAAAGTTAAATTTCCTGTTCCACACAGGCTGTTGCAATTATGAAAATGGCTTGTAACATCAATGCATGAGGTCGTTTCTAAGTATGTACAAGAGAGATATAATGAAGCTTCGTTAGAGTAGAGGTGCTTTTTAAGTGTTCCCTTATAAATCCACCCAGATGGAAATGTTCCAGGCTGCCTGTCCTGATGACCATGTCTGTAGAGAATCATAGAATAGTTTGGGTTGGAAGGGACCTTTAAAGGTCATCTAGTCCAACCCCCCTGCAATGAGCACGGACATCTTCAACATCGTCCAACTTCAATCTCATTGCTCAGAGCCCCGTCCAACCTGACCTTGAATGTTTCCAGGGATGGGGCATCCACCACCTCTCTGGGCAACCTGTGCCAGTGTTTTACCACGTTCGGCATGAAAAATGTCTTCCTTATGTCTAGTCTGAATCTACCCTCTTTTAGTTTCAAACCAATACACCTTGTCCTGTCACTACAGGCCCTACTAAAACTCTGTCCCCATCTTTCTTATAAGCCCCCTTTAAGTATTGAAAAGCTGCAATAAGGTCTCCCCGGAGCCGCCTCCTCTCCAGGCTGAACAACCCCAACTCTCTCAGCCTTTCCTCGTAGGAGAGGTGTTCCATCCCCCTGATCATTTTCATGGCCCTTCTCTGGACCTGCTCCAACAGGTCCATGTCTTTCTTGTGCTGGGGACCGCAGAGCTGGATGCAGGACTGCAGGTGGGGTCTCATGAGAGCGGAGTAGAAAGGCAGAATCACCTCCCTTGGCCTGCTGGCCACGCTTCTTGTTATGCAGCACAGGATGCGGTAGGCTGTCTGAGCTACAAGCACACATTGCAGACTCACATCCAATTTTTCATCCACCAGTATTCCCAATTCCTTCTCCACAGGGCTGCTCTCAATCTACTCATTGCCCAGCCTGTATCCATGTTTGGGATTGCCCTGTCCCAGATGCAGAACCTTACATTTGGCTTTGTTGAACTTAATGAGGTTTGCACAGGCCCACCTTTCTAGCCTGTCAAGGTCCGTCTGGATGGCATCCCTTCCCTCTAGAGTATCAACCACATCACTAAGCTTAGTGTCACACGCAAACTTGCTGAGGGTGCACTCAATCCCACTGTCCATGTCCTCAGCCAAGATGTTAAATAATACTGGTCCCAGTACAGACCCCTGAGGGACACCACTCATCACTGGTGTCCACCCGGGCATTGAGCCATTGACTGCAACTCTTTGAGTGCAACCGTCTAGCCAATTCCTTATCCACCGAGTTGTCCACCCATCAAATCCATGTCTCTCCATTTTAGAGACAAGCTTGTTGTGTGAGACGGTATCAAATGCTTTGCACAAGTCCAGGTAGATTTGAACTGGGCTGTCCTGGATGTCCCAGCTCTGTGGGGAAAAAGAATGAGAAAATACCAATCTTTGCACCCAGACCCATAGAAGTGTTGGAGAGAATTGCTAAGGGAATGGCCAGCCAGTCACAGG